GGGCCGGGGGGCTACGCTCAGGACAACATGCATCAGATGCACAAGGTGAGGGGGCAGCTTCCGAGGCTGCCACCGGGCAGCGCCAAAAAAAAATAATAGGTGCTGCTTCGGTAGGACGAGGAGGAATGGGTTCGGTAGCTCAGTTTTCCTGTTAAATTATTTTTTTTTGCATGCTCACGCGTCGTTTTTTCTCTTTGGACGGGAAGGCTGAGAAGTTAACAGTTTATTTCAGCGTTGAGTTTCCGCGTTTTGCTTTCCGCGAATATCAGAGCATCGTACCCGTCGCTTCAGGATTGCGAGTGGGGGCTGAGGAGTTGAATTCCTCAGTAAGGAAGGGGAGTGAAATGTCTAATAAAGGTTTCTCTCGTTGGGAATTTGGAGCTCAGGGAAAAGAAGCCTCCCTTCTCCCTTTCCGCTTCTACCATCAGAGCGCTTGGGGGTTTTTGTTTTATTTTGTCATCTAACCCCCCTTTTTCTCAGCTTTTTTCGATCATCTTCAGCTGAAAGACCCGGGGAAAAACCACACGGGCAAAGCATTTAAGCAATTTCAGGCCCCTCTCCGCGTCCCCTCGTGCTCGTTCCCTTCCCCGCCGTTCAACGCGGGCAGTTCGCGGTGACGTACGGCGTTTCGCCAGCGAACGCGTTTCCATTTTCCGGGGGTTGTTGGTAGCGCCCGGCCGCGCACACCGAATCCTTCGTGCCGTGGGAGCACGTCTCGCCTCGGCGCGGCCGCCCCTGCTTGGCTGTCGGCGATTGCCGGGAACGGCTGAGTCTTTGGAGTGGATTTTGGGAATGTCGCTTTTCTCCCGCAGCCCATGGACTCCATGCATGAGAAGGGAATAACCGACGATCCTCGCTACAGCCAGATGAAAGGGATGGGAATACGGCCCGGCGGGCACGCGGGAATGGGTCCTCCTCCGAGCCCGATGGACCAACACTCTCAAGGTTGGTTTCTTGAAGAAAAATAAATGTTATTTTTGTGGGGATGGGGCTGTGGATCGGTCTGGAGCTCCCAGAGCATCTGTGGCTCCTTGCTTCCCTCTTCTGTCGGCACGTAGGCGGGGTGCCCGTTAGGACAGTCATAAAAACGAGGAAAGAATCGCATGAGAACGTCAGACCGGGAGAAGGACCGTCTGTCCCTCCTCGCGTCCCGGTTTCTGTGCCAAGATCGGTGCGGCGGCGTACGCCGAGCGCGCCGTTCCCGTCCAGGAGCTTTGCTTGCTTTAAATCCTTGATTTTGGGAAGGATTTAGCACTGCGGGGGTTTCCAGGTTTAGAGCAGGTGCAGGCTGCGCTGGGGAGGAGACGTTTTCCGTAGCGTTCGGGCGGTTTTTTAACTCTTTTGACTGAGTCTTGCCATCCCCGTCGCTGCGAGCGCTTTGCTCCCGTCTCGCTGGCTCTCTCCCTCCAGGTTACCCTTCTCCGCTCGGCGGCTCCGAGCACGCCTCGAGTCCGGTTCCGGCTAACGGTCCGTCCTCTGGCCCTCAGATGTCCTCGGGCCCCGGAGGAGTCCCCTTGGATGGCACTGACCCCCAAGCGCTGGGGCAGCAGAACCGGGGCCCGACCCCTTTTAACCAGAACCAGCTGCACCAGCTGAGAGCTCAGATCATGGCCTACAAGATGCTGGCCAGGGGCCAGCCTCTCCCCGACCACCTCCAAATGGCGGGGCGGGGGGAGAAGGAAGCGACCCATGCCTGGAATGCAGCAGCAAATGCCGACACTACCTCCGCCCTCCGTGTCCGGGACAGGACCAGTGCAAGGACCAGTGCAAGGGCCTGGACCGGGACCGACACCTCCAAACTATAACAGACCTCACGGTGAGCGCCGCTCCTTCGCCGGCTCGGGCAGGGACCGGCCTTTCTGGCGGGGAGGGTGTTTTACGCTGGTTTGGCACTGTTTGACCCTCACCGCTGCCCTGCTGCCTGCCCCGTCTGGGTTTTCCGTTTGCACGTCTCCTAGCCCGTCCGATTCACAGCCGCTAGTTTTCCAGGGGCTGGGACTTGAGATTCATCCCACCCAGCTGCTGTTGAAGAGGCGGGGAGACTCCTCCGGGCAGTTTGGGGTGCGGGAGGGCTGATTTCATCCCCCTGGTGCCATCTCTGCTGGGCAGGGGGGCAAGCCTGGGGGTTATGTGCTTGCAAAAACCGCGTCAGGGGAGGTTTAGATTTGGATGTTGGGAAAAATGTCCTCACGGAAAGAGCGGTCAAGCGTTGGAGGGGGCTGCCCAGAGAGGTGGGGGAGTCCCCAGCCCTGGAGGGGTTCAAAAACCGGGCAGAGGTGGCACTGGGGGCCATGGTTTAGTGGCCCTG